ATAACCCCACCCTTGTAGTCTTGACCCCCTAACCACTGGAATTAAAACAAAGTGGGTCCTCTAAGTTAAACGTTTGTGAATTTATGTTATTAAGATTTAATGTTAAAAGAACTGGATGGGTGGATGGTTTAAATATGCACATAACATCAAATGTTCTGTTAACCAATGGAATCCATTTTTATTCAAATATTTAAAAGAAACTCATCTGGATCTGCACCAAAATGCTCCTTAAATCCCCTCTCCACCAAGTTTGATGAAATATCTGCTTGGCAGTCATTCGTATAATCTTGCTGACAAAGAGACAAACAACTTGCAATGATCCTTTGCCTTGGAGATGGAACAAAAAACAATACAAAATATAAGTCAGACAAATTCAAAAATTCAAATAAAAACAAACAAACAAACAAACAGTTTCCTTGTAAATATGCTATTTGAAAATTGCTTACTTGAATGTACAACTTATTTGCTGAGTTTTAAAATACAGTATATTGATATCTCCAACAATAACTGGAAGGAAACTGTGTAGTGCAAAGGTTATACGGTGTTTCAAGTGTAAATTGAGACTAATAAAACCAACGTCTCACAAATGCACACAGTAAGGATGAGATAGGGACTGGTGAGGACTTTGAACATTTCTGCAGCTCTCTTTCATCTGCAGTCAGTTTTTTATCTAAAGTGAGGCAGTGTAATGTGCTGTTAAATGGCAGCTTTAACCACCTCTCTGCCTCTCTGTCATTAGCATAGCGTAGGAGGAAGAGCTGATTGAGTGGCCAGTTGGCAGTCAGAGAGAAATTTCTTTTCAGAATCTTTGTTCAAGTTCTGCATTTGCACGAGTAAAATAAATAAATAAATCACCATCTCATCAACATCCACCTCCACCTCTGATTTATAATGATGTGGTCTCTGATTTTTTTTTCATATCTCCATATTAAACAGATGTGCACAGGAGCTTGGAGGCTTAAATAAATCATTTTCAGGGAAGAACTTCAATAGATTTTACCCAGAACTAAACACAACAAAGAGAATGAAACCCAACCAAACCCCCATAATAAAGGAACAGATGACGCAAGAACAATTCAGTAGACTGCTATTTCAAGCAGACCCTTTGTTGATTGTTGGAGATTCAATTAAATTCAAGACAGATTCTATTTAATGTCTTTTAACTGAACATAAATCAAAAGAAGTGCCCAACCAGAGGGTCAAGACTCCTCTTGGAAGTCCCCAAATAAATCTGAGTAAAAAAAAAATATAACTACTACTCAATAATATTGGCTTTTTCTAACTTTTCTCCATAAATTTTTATTTCATTCACCAATTCATCTTGTACTTGTACTATGTCTGGGTCTCAGGGACAGATGTCCAGACCTCCCTCTTCCAAGATGGTCATACCCAAAACACCTCACCAAAGAGGTACCTTTGTCATGTTTTAATCTTTAATTTTACTTAAAAAATATTCATAATAATAAAAAGTACCATCCATCTACCAACCTGTCCAGTTCAAGGTCACAGGAGGGCTATCACAGTCATGGGTTGAGAGGTGGACAGGTTGCTAATGTGTTGCAGCATCCACTTTCTTATTGTTTGTATTTACTTCAAGGTAACAAAACTCAGGAACTTAATGTAACACTTCTATCCATCCATTCTCTTCCGCTTATTCTTGTCAGGGTGAAAAAGTTATGAAACTTAATTGATGTTAAAATAAATGTCCTGAGAAAGGTTTTAAAGTATTTTCTCATGGATCTTCTTTGTCTTCAGCACAGTGGTTAGATCATGGTTACAAGGGTGGAGTTGTTTAGACTCTTGGGTGTGTCCAACAGATGGACACAATATGATGTAATCTGATAACTGTGGTTCAATTCACTTCAGTTTTATTTGTATAGTACCAAATCACAAAAACAGTTTCCTCAAGAATGTCCTTTACAAGTTACAAGTTAAAACCCTACAATAATAATAAAGAGAAAACAGAAAACCTCAACAATCAGATCATCTCCTATGAGCAAGTGTTTTGGTGAGGGTGGAAAGGAAAAACTCCCTTTTAACAGGAAAAAAAAAACAGGAAGAAACCTCCAGAAGAACAAGGCTCAGAGCAGTCATCTAATGCAGTGTTTCCCAACCACTGTGTGTGAAATGATCAGGTGTGCTGTGGAAGATTATCTGGTTCCACCTGATTAGTACTCGCGATTGTGAGTAACGCACAGAACAATTACATTCTCTTCCACTAGAGGGCAGTACAGCTACCTGCTCTAATTAAATGGGTTGCCAACCGCCCGTAAAACAGAAGAAGACGAAGAAGAAATTACATACTAGTCATGCTGTTGGAAGTCGCAGCATGAAATAGGAATAGATAAATATTTGAAAAGAAAAAGTAGTCAATCTGAACTGGGTCCTGCAGAAAGTTCCGACCCAGATGAAGGCCCTAGCATGAGTAGTGGTCAGAAGAAAGCAAAAAATATATATTGTGGACCAGTGTTGGTCAAGTTACTTGAAAAAAGTAATTAGTTACTAAAGTTTTTCCTTTATTGAAAAAATTAATCCCGTTACTTTACTGATTACTTATTTTCAAAAGTAATTAGTTACTTTTCAAAAACATGATACACAACCTGAATAAATAAAAAAGCAATAGACCTTTCAAGCCAATTCTATTTTTTATGCATAATCCATCATGTAAAATTGAATCAAATGGAAAGCCTTTTTCTAAAAATTGTTTTATTAGTTTTAATATTATAATTTTTTTTAACGTCATTGTCATGAGACACTCTCACAAACAAAATCATGACAGTTTAGTAACGCAGTAACACAGCGTGCTTACAGGAAAGTAAAAGTAATCTAATGTCTTTTTTTTACAATAGTAATCCCTTACATTACTCATTACTTGAAAAAGTAATCGGATTACAGTAACGTGTTACTTGTAATGCACTACTGCCCATTTCTGTTGTGGACAAACCGAGTCAATTTCACTATACCTGGTGCATGGGGAAAAATTATCAATATGCTTTTTGTGACATTTTTGTTTGGTGGTGTGCCGTGTGATTTTTCTAACGTGAAATGGCTCCAAAAGGTTGGGAAACACTGATCGAGAGTGACAGGATGGACAGGATAAAGACTAGCTGTGGAAGATAGCCAGAGATTAATAATAAATAATGATTAAATGCAATGTGGAAAAGGTGATTGAAAAAGAAACACTTAAATAAGTTTTTAAATATTTCCATAAATGGTAAATGGCAAATACTATTCAATGCCTAACTAAAGAAAATACAGAAAACATCCAGTTTAACATCACAGGAGGGCTGGAGCCTCTCCCAGCTGTCACTGAGGAAGAGGCTGGATACACTCTGGACAGGCTGCCAGTCAGTTGGTAGGCATAATGGGTAAATGTTAAAATAAATTTTATCAGATTATATCAATCACTTTTATAATTTTATATTAAAAAAATATGATTTTCATCTTTGAATTGTACTTTACCTTTAAAACACTTTTTAAAGTAAAAAGATTACAATTTTATTAATTAATAATAAGATCTCAGATTTAATCTAGAATTTTCAAAAAAGAAAATAAAGTTTTACATTACAACTGGTGTTTTCCATTAATTTCCCCCCAACCTTTGTGGCAAAATAAGCGAATACAAAAAAAGAGGTAAAGGGGGGTAATTCATGAAGAAACTTAAAAATATTCTGAGTTTATCCTAAAACTTTAGCCTTGAATTATTTTGGAATTGATATGATGGCTTCAAATGCACACCAGTATAGTGATTATTTAATATGACTTTTGTTGTGGATTTTGCCTGAAACTATACTTCTTCTAAAAAAAGGAAAAAAAAATCATATTTTGGCTTTATTAATTTTTGATTCAAATTATTACTGTTTAGTAACAGTTTTTTATTTTTATTTATATATTTATTTATTTTTTTTACCAAAATAGACTTTTTGGTAAAAATTTGACTTTTTCTTGAATCAGGGCAGGGTTTTCTGAAAACGTGAAGTAACTATGGCTTTAGTCTTTAAAAAGCTTTATCTCAAAATTAGTCTGACAACAGTTTTTCTAAACGTACTAAAACGTTTGGGTGAAGATAACGGGCTACAAAAGTATTCTTAAAATCTAATTTTGCATCCCTCGTTGTCAAATCTTATATTTAAAAAATCAAAATAATGATAGTATATAATAGTATATAATAACAAATGAGTCAAGGTCTTATGCTTTGATTTGTTTGGCTGAAAAGAGACTCCATACATCGCTCCGGGATAGATCCAGATCTGGATTTTTTTTCTTCCCCCCCCTGAGTTTCCAGACTGCATCTGTGGCCCGGGGCTGTTCTCGAGAGCAGGGCTCTGTTTCTGCCTTGTTACCTAATTAATTCATAGATCCACCTTAAAAACAGGGCAATCCCGGTCTGGTCCCTCCCCCCTGCTCGCCACCACAAGCTCACCTCCTTCTCTTTCAGTTTCCCAGCTTGGCAGGAAAAGATCTGATCCGGACTTTTGGTGTTTCCTCTGGTCTGGTTGAGTGTGCCGGACCCCCCCTCCAGTTCCACCCACCGCTAAGCAACACAAACACACTACCAGTCCTCATTTTCTGGATCTGCTCTTTGTTAACAGAGCCTTTTCCCTCCTCTGCTTTTATTCCAGGAGAGGGAGAGAGTGAGTGAGCGAGAGAAAAAGAGAGGGAGAGAGGGTGAGTTTATCTTCTCCTTTTAAAGGATTCGTTTCTGACTGAATCTGGATCTGGTTTGTTTTCCTTGCTCGGGGCTGCCGCCACCACTGCAGGAACAGAGCTGGTGCCCCTACTGATGTATTTAAAAACGGTTTAAACGTCAGGAACGGTTCAAGGTTTTATCCACCAACCACCACCCGGCCTGTCAGTCATTTTTTTCGCCACTGCAGTTTTCAAGTTGGAGCTCTGCTGGGAAATGGACAAACCCCTCTAAACTAAAGACGCTTCCCAACCGTTCCGACTCAGCCACAGGACGTGATTTGGACGAAGATCCACGGAGTGGAGGTAACGTCTAATCTCAGTGTTTTTTTGTTTCTTAATTAAACTTAACTCACCACGAGTCTGTACAATCTTTCAATTCACTTGTGGCTGAAAGCCAAGAAAGGCTCGCTTAGTCTGTCGGAGACCGTGAAAGTGACATTTTGCTGTGTTTTAAGGGGTCTGTCGTGCCCCCACCCCCCCAAGTTGTCCGCACTGCTCAGCATCCGGGTAACGTTCATAACTGCCGTTTCTTTACCTTGACACCCAATTATTAGCAACTACAGGGAGATTTTTGGGATTTTCCACAGGTGTGAACGCACTATTATCCCAGTCTGACGCACTTTAACACGCATCTTGGCGTATTTTCCTCCCTAATAGCAACAGTGTCTCTCAGAAACCCCGAGGTACAGTTTCTGTCTCTTTCACCTCGCCAAACGTCCCGGCTGTTAGCTAGGTTACAGCCCCGATACGTGCCGTTCCCTCCCTGCAGTCAACGCTGTCGGGTCTTCATTCATAATGCGGACTTTAAAATCCAACTTAAAACGCTTTTCGACAAACTAAAATGCCCATAAAGCATACACTGTGATATTGTGCAATAGTTTCTAATCAGACACCTGTAAAATTTACAGACGATGACTCACTTTTGGTGAAAAAAACAACTTTTGAACTGGATACGCACTGCTAGTTAGTTTGCCGCCTGCCAAAGTAAGGAGCCTGCTGGTAAAAGTTGTTATTTTATTCTGAATATTACATTTTTACATGTCATTGGGGTATGCCGAATTGAAGGGTTGTTTCTAAAAGGTCTGTAAATTGTTATTAATGGCTACAAAATTGCGTTTTCACAAACCCAACAAGGAGATGTAGATCAAAAAGAGCAGATTCTTAATGGCGCTCTGGTGCCAGGTCTCCCCGAGCGACAGCGAGGCACGTATCTGCTGGTGCATTGGCTGCGAGGCAGGAATCAGACCGCCCGCGGATGTCTCTGGGCGCCTGGAAACAATTTGTTAACAGTCTCTGGCTTGAGTGTGTTGCTTTCCGAGTGATATTTCCAGTGGTAACCGGAAAAGGCGCCTTTTACCATCAGAAAAAACACAGGACCTGTGGTAAGTTGGTTAAAAACAGCTCTCTGAGCAGCGAGCGTTGGTTGCTGCGGTTGTTTGTCCCTGTTGTGATATTAATTGTGTATATTTCTGTATCACTGTGGTGTCCTCACACTGTTGACACGAATGTGGCGCCTTCAGGATGAGCTTGTTAAGCTTGTTGGAGTGGTTCCCCCATATTTAGCACTCGCACTGTAAATACTACTTCTGCGTTTTCAAGGCTGCCGGTATTGAACAAGGGTGGAAAAATCGTTACCGACTGCGCTTTATTTTAATTAAGGAAGGACCATCCTTACGTCATCGGCTTATTTGGGCGGATGAGGAGGAGCAGCAGCAGTTCTGCTTCTTTTTCCTCTCTTCTCATTTCATCCATCTCCACCTTCTCCTCCTCCTCCCCTCTGTAGCTGGGTGTGTCCTGCCTTATTGCGTTAGAAAGGAGGGGGGATCCCGCATCTTGGCTCATGAGGTGACTCCTCCTCAGCTTGTGACCTCCAAAAGAGGGCATTGCTCCTTCTGATTTCTGCTGCTGCAAATTATCGGAACATAGAGGGTTTTTGCAAAATGAAATTAGTAGAAAGGGAAACTTTGAAGACTCTTTGCTGAAAAGGGTTGAATTATAAGTATGACAGCAATGACTTTGCTGTTTGCTTGATTCTAAAGGGAAAATGGCTAGTTTTTTGTATTCCACCGAAGTCTGTACAGTTTATCGAGGTTTGGAATGAAATATGATTATGTGGCTTCCAACCATTATGATAACACCAAGCAAACATTTCAAATTTGAATAATCGTTGTCTCTCAATTCTGTTTAAAGATTTTAACTAGTCCTCCATTCACAAGCACAGCAGGTAGCACTGCCTATTTGGTTTGGCATATTTTGACACCAGATGCTCTTCCTGGCAACCTTGAAAGGTTTTGTGTCTCCCCCCTAGGGCTAGAGAAGGGATCATTTTCTTGTCAGGCAAATGCATTGAGCCACTTTTCTAAGGTCTCGCTTTTGTTTAAACAAGGTTTTGAAAATGACAGTTGAGCAAGGGTCGTCTGTTGGACGTACCTCCTTATCACCTAGATGTTCTGGTTGGACTTTCTGACAAATTAAGTCTCTGATAAGGAACTGTTGTATATTATCCTTTTATTTATGGACTACAACAACATAACGAATTTAAAAAAAAATACTATGAGGGAAACTCAAACTCCTGACCTTTTGACACTGCCAAACTGCCTACTGGCTGTCTTTTCTAGTCAACATCTAGCCTTGGATCAAGCATGGCTCCAAAATAAAGGTTGTGCCAATGTTGGAGACAAACGTTTACTGTCTGCTAGGCTTAGTCAAAGGAGCTTGCAAAGAAAGGCGTCTGGACTTCTTTAAATTACTTGAAGACGTTTCACCTCTCATCTGAGAATCTTCTTCAGTTCTAAGGTCAAATGGTGGAGAGTCCCAGATATAAACCTAGTGGGAGTATCCCCCCACAGAGGGACAATAGGACCCCCTGATGATCCTCTAATCGCCTGAGCCAAGGTGTGAAACTGGGTGTGGGTCCCAATCAGCCAGAGTTTCGGGTGATTTCATTGTGAAACCTGGCCCCACCTTATCATGCGAATTCCTGAGATCAGATGGCCCAGGATGTGAGTGGGCGTTAAGGCGTCTGGGAAGGGATCTCAGAACTGGATTATAGATGGCAGAGAGTTGGTGTCGTAAACCCCCGCCTCTGTTCAAAGATGGTCGCTCACAGTGGACATAGATGGCTTCTTTCACTCCTCTTTCAAACCATCTGTCCTCTCTGTCCAAAATGTGAACATTGGCATCCTAGAAAGAGTGTCCTTTATCCTTAAGATGCAGATGGACTGCTGAGTCTTGTCCTGTGGAGGTGGCTCTTCTGTGTTGTGCCATGCGCTTGTGCCATGCGCTTGTGCCATGCGCTTGTGAAGTGGCTGTTTGGTCTCTCCAATGTAGAGGTCTGAGCATTCCTTGCTGAACTGTACCGCATACACCACATTGTTAAGTCTGTGTTTTGACCCACACCCAGTTTCACACCTTGGCTCAGGCGATTAGAGGATCATCAGGGGGTCCTTTTGTCCCTCTGTGGGGGGTTACTCCCACTAGGTTTATATCTGGGACTCTCCACCATTTGACCTTAGAACTGAAGAAGCTTCTCGGATGAGAGGGGAAACGTCTTCAAGCAACTTAAAGAAGTCCAGACGCCTTTCTTTGCAAGCCCCTTTGACTACGATGACCTGGATGACTGAGAACCTTCACAGACATATCTGCTAGGCTTACTTTTTCTCACCTGGGTGTCTTTGTTAGACGTTACAGCAAAGTAAAATTTATGTTAAACCACTGTTTTATGTTGGTGTCTTGGTTGATATGTGGTTCCAGAATGAAAGTTGAAGACAAAATTTTGCCATCTCTTGCGTGTTATCTTATCAACATCATCTGGACATCCCTGTTGGAAACCCAGCAAACATGTTCAAAAAGCTAAGCTGGTGGTAAACTGGTGATTCTAAATTGTTTGTAGGTGTTAAATGAATGGTAGCATGAATAGTTGTCTGTCTCTGTGTCAGCCTGGAGGCAGGGTCCAGGAAGTACCCATCTTCTTGCCTTTCTTGTGATGGACTCTAGCCCTCCCTGCAACCCTGAATTGGATAAGCAGAAGAAAATGGATGAATGGTCAAGAGAGAGGTCAAGAGTTTGAGTCGGATTTATGGCGTGTTTTCAAGACTAGACATCAAGAAAAGATGGACAGCCAATGGTTATTCAATGTCAAAATGTTTTGGGAAGTCGATGAAAGAATTGTTTTATATTAATCTTAATTGAGTAGAAGAAAATGTGACAGAAAACGTTATAATTCAAGATGAGCATAAGAATGCCAGGAAAAACTCCTAAGGACACCCCTGTGTTCACATCATAGGGTCTACAAGGACCCCTTCAATTCACCATACAACAGATGAGACAGGATTCACGCCTAGTTATACATAAGTGGCTTAAAAGTAATGATGATATTTTTAAAAATGGCCATCTGGTAATACTACTCTATATATATATGGAGTAGATGTTATGCGGGTACCTTTTTACAGTCATTTGGTAATCAAATTAGTTGCAAGTCAGTGAATTAGTTGACTAACTAACAAAACATGTTCATTGAATGTCTTCACTGGATAGATCAATGCTATTTCCATGTATAACAATGGTCGTATTAGACCATCTCGTACAGTTTACAGGATTATTTAGATTTCTCATTAAGTGGTTCAAATGAAGTGGTCCTGCCACACCTATGTTGGTGCATCTTGATGTTATTTGTTGCTAAACCTTAACAGCAGCATCACTGATTTTTGCCGCTGAAGGTTAACGCTGTATTTTTGGATAAATAAATTATGAGGTTAAATGGGCGCTGTTTCAGGCAAGGTGGCCTACATCTGATCGAACTAGAACTGAACAGATTAGTTGATTGATCGCTTATATCACTCTAAACTGCTTTGGTTGTCAAGCTGCAGGCTAGACAAATCACCCCAGGCTGTGATTAAACTGTGATGGACATTTTCACTGTTTTCTCACATTATCTATACTCATCAGTCAATTGGGAAACAAATGAACCTCGTTTTCATAATTTTACGATAATTTTAGAAATGTGTCAGGTATGTGAGAGACAGGCAACCTGTTCTGGTAAGTCCAGTGGCAGTTTTATGTGTAAATTGGACTGTTGCCTTTATTGTAGTGGCAGATTGGTTGTAAAGCACTTGGCTGAAACTGTTCTGACTATGATTTCAGTATCTGATGATATTGACGTGTCATGGATTTACTTTAGTGCTTCCCACACACAGATCTTACCTGCAGGACTGGCCAAGAAAATAAAATGATCTGTCTTCACTTTTTGTACCTGAAGATTGCACCGTTAGGCAGACCATCACTCAATCCACATAACACCAAACTCCCTCTCTTCTCCTGGGAATTGGGACCCACAAGAAGGCAAACCTATGGACTTGGGTGCAGGAACAGTTATTTATAGTGGAAAAGTTTTTAATGACCAAAAACTCTGCTCAAGAAAAGAGATTTCTATTGAATTAGCTGATGCAGCATCTCACCCCAGTCAAAAGGTTTTTACATTTTACCTTTTTTCTTTAGTACATTACATTATTTCATTATCAGCATACATCAGATACGAATTGCTGGGTTTTTCCTGCGTATAAAGTATTTTGTCCTTCCGCCACAGAAAACTCTGAGATACAGAAAAATCCAACATGGTGATGTTTTTGAGGCAGAATGAAAATCCATTTCTTTGCGTCTTTAAAACCCTTTTCCTCATGTTTTTTCTGTTTTACAAACTAAGTGTCATCTTAGTAATGTCACAGCTGTTCAGGCTTTTGCTAAGTTCATGTAAAATAAAGGCATTCGTCTAATTTTTATTTCAGCTACAGTTGTGGCTTGCAGTGACTATTAAAACAAGATAATCTATATAAAACAAATTAAGATATAATTAAAATCCAATTTTAAAAGAAGAAGTAGAAAAAATATGTACAGTTTTTTCAAAGTCAAATAAACATCATCTCAATAATTACCAGAGTAATTATTAGGGGTGCAACGATACTCGTATCGATATTGAACCGATCGATACAGTGCTTTCGGTTCGGTACACATATTTATCAAACAATACAACATTTTTTATTTATTTTATCAACTTTCCTTCTGACGATGTTGTCTGTGTTGAGCGCTCAGTGGATCTGCGTTCGACTGCTCCGCCTAGGCTGCACTGTCAAGTGCAGATACACTGAGCGCAGTGCAAGCTAGCAAGACGGAAGCTAAGCTCGTTGCAACATGGCAACTACCTCAACGCTACCCGAAATTGAACCTCCCCCACTCTCATTCAGATCTGGCGTTTGGAACTATCTTGGTTTTCATGTGAAGCATGACCCTGATGGTAAGCGCGTCATGGACAAAAGTAAAACAGTATGTCGGATGTGCCACGCAATGCTCAATTTGTGGGAACTAGTGCGGTAGCGCAGTTAGCTTC